TAGTTAATTAAAATAAATTTTAATTGAAAAAAATTGTTGCAATTAATTGCAATAATTATGTCTTAAATGAGATTCAGAATATCAACAAAAGTTTCTTTTTCTTTCGTTTTTTATTACGAGATTGAAAATCGAAATTGCTGTAAAAGCATCTTATACAAGACGCCGAATTAATGATATAAAGAGAGAGATGAATCTTTCTTGTTCTTAATCTTGTTCTTGTTCTCGATTTTGATCTTTTTTCTATTTTCTTTGATGTGTTTCTTCTTCTTTTTAAATTAATAAATGTTAATTCAAGATTGCTGTTTAAGTGTCTTTTACAAGACACTGTCATGTTCATTTTATAAAAATGATGTGATAATTCAATTTATAAATTTCTGTGTTTTTGTTTTCAATAAATTCTGATTGTCATATTTATATAAACCATTCAATAAATATAGATATTAATTATGGGTACGTTTAGTAACCGCAATTTTTTTTGTCATTCTCAAAGAATAAGATGACATGTTAAATAAAAAACGATTATTTTCATCCATTTCATATAACATGTCATAATGTTTATTCACTAAAATATGAAAAAAATGTGCATTAATCTCGAACTATAATCAGCTTTTTCAGAGGAAAATTTTCTTTAAAGTTTGAATCAGATATTGAAAATGAATCAAGAAAGCAAAATTTTAAATGAAAAAAATTAATATTTATTACAGATACTAATTTAATATCGTAACGTTATTTTTTTTTTTTTTTTTTTTTGAAAAATTTTATAATATAAAAATCTAATTTTCTAAATATGTATTGAAGATAATTTATTATAAATTATATCAATATATTTGTTACGTAATAAGTAATATATCATATCATAATAAATATGAAATTCTTCCATATTGAGTGAGTTTTTCATTAAATTAATCAAAAAAATAAAAATGAATTATTTCATGATACATCGAATTACCTTTCAATTTAAACAAATACATAGCATCTATATGCAATAGCAATTAATATTTCTTCATAATGATTAATTGTAAAACTATTCGATTGTGATAAAATAGAACAAAACAAAACTAAACGACCGTTTAAAATTATATTAAAAAATAAAATATAGTATTTCTATGAATAGTTCTTATTATATTCAAAAGTATACCATATTTTTAGATCTATAGACAAAATACAATACATTTGTAATTTTAACATTTACTTTTGAATTCAAAAAGACAGTTTATTTAAGTAAATTTTTCAAATATTGAGTCAAAAACAAAGTGATCTATTTTTAAAGTTTCCTATAGGATTTTTTTAAAATAACAAATATGTTATAATAGTTGGCAGTGAACTATCAATAATATTAATAATTATATCATGAAAAAATAGGAAGGAGAACAAAAAAAGTTAGATTATTCGAACAACTGTGAAAAGTTTAAAATTCTTATTTTCTCCAAATTTTTGTTTACTATTTACCAGTGTTTACAAGAATCGCAATTCGTAATTGCAGTAAAAATTGTAAAAAAAATGTAACCACTTTCTTTTTGAATTTTTTCAAGATTTTAGAAGAATCTTTAGTGACTTTTTTTTAAAAAAATATGGAGTAAAATAATGAACCAAGCTACAAATATACAAAAATTCAAAATTTATGATAATATTATTTTTTTAAAAATGAGATAAAATATTGACCAATTTTAGGATGTACTTTTGATAAAGGATCAACAGAAATGATTTATATCCCAAAGTTTTTAGGGGAAAAAGGGTAAAATTCGATTTTGTATTTTAATTAATTACATATTGTTAAATTATATGCTTTGGGTTTTCTGTTATTTTTAAAAAAACAAATTAAAAGCTTATAAAGATATTAAAGCCTTTAATTTAAAGCTTAATATTATGAAATTGCTGTAATTTTTAATTCAATTACTGCAATTATTGTATTCAATTAGTGTAATAATAGTATTCAATTACTGTAATAGTGGTATTCAATTACTGCAATTTTTAATTGAAAATTGAATAGTGTAATTATTTCATTATTGCAATTTTGAATTCAAAAAAACGTTATTGCAATAAAAAAAATTACAGTATTCAATATCTAAGAAAACGATTATAAACGAATCAAAAAGTTATATTTATATATTGGTTAACAAAATATTTTTAATATTTTGGTTAACAATTTTTTTCAAAAAATTGATTTTTATTTTGCAAACATTTGCAAATATTTTTGCTAATGTTTGCCAATTTTGGTAATTACGTATTGCAATTTTTGCAAACACTGCTATTTACAGAAAAAAATATGGTTTAAAACATTGATAGAGACAAATAAATGTCATGATAAATGTTTTAATTTGCGTTATTGAGTTGATTTTATGAAAAATTTAATATTAAATAAATAATTATTTTTTTTTAAAAAAGTATGATTGAAAAAGAAATTAAAGTTTCTTAAGGAGTCTTTAATATCAAAAAACTAGCCTAAAACGTTTGATATATATAATTCTCTTCGAAAATAATAATTAAAAAAGTTATCATGTACGTTTGAAATATTTCTGAAATTTTGCTTGTTTCAATCAAAATGCACATATCTCATTTATAAAATATTATTTTCATGAATTATTAGAAATTTATAAGCTGTTATATGAAATTAATACTGAATGATTGAAGATAATACTGATTTTTATTAAAAATACTGAGGTACTTATTATTGAGAAATTTAAAAACAAATAATCAAAAATTTTCATAAGAAAGAAAACATAAATAATAGAATTTAATCCGGATATATACTTATTTATAATATGGGTTATATATATTAAAATATCAATTGATTTTAATAACTTAAGCTTGCTAAAAAGACACATTTATTTTTTTAAAAAAAAATTTAAACGGTCGTTTAGTTTTGTTTTGTTCTATTTTATCACAATCGAATAGTTTTACAATTAATCACTATGAAGAAATATTAATTGCTATTGCATATAGATGCTATGTATTTGTTTAAATTGAAAGGTAATTCGATGTATCATGAAATAATTCATTTTTATTTTTTTGATTAATTTAATGAAAAACTCACTCAATATGGAAGAATTTCATATTTATTATGATATGATATATTACTTATTACGTAACAAATATATTGATATAATTTATAATAAATTATCTTCAATACATATTTAGAAAATTAGATTTTTATATTATAAAATTTTTCAAAAAAAAAAAAAAAAAAATAACGTTACGATAAAAAATTACGTTACGATATTAAATTAGTATCTGTATTTATTATTATAAATTAAATGAATGGATAATCGGGTAATACTTAAACACTTCACATGAATGGTGGGTAATTACCCTACCCGAAAAAAACGTACCAGGTCCATTTTTTTAGGTTACCATTAGAAGGTCTAATTATGGGCTTAAATTAAACATATTTTTTATATCAAACTGTATAAATATTCTTATATAAAATGTATTAATCAATAAATTCTATTATTTCTCACCAGCTATGATGGTTGTTAAAGTATTTTTATAAGATATCTTAAAAAAGAATAAATGTTTAAATGCTTAATTTTTTTAATTAATTAATTTTTTTATTGAGGTAATTATATGAAATAATTCCCTACTATTTCGAATTGTTTATTTCTTTGGATTGAATTTGTGATTGAAATTGAAATTATTTATTTTATTTTGTCATCATAGAATCCCAAAATTTTATTTGGGACTTACATGACAAGTTTAAAATAAATAATTAGAATATAACATTTGTTCGAAATCGTTGTTATCGTTGTCATATTCGTTAGTTGTAAAATATTCCATTTCATATGAAAAACAATTTTCATTTCCTCTTTCATTTCCTCTTTCATTTGCATTTGCATTTCCTCCTTCATTCAAAAAGATTTCATCAAAATTTAAAAAATCATCAAAAATATCATCAATTTCATTTTCATGTATCTCTTCTTGGACTTCTTCTTTTTGTTCTTCTTGCTCTTTTTGTTCTTCTTGCTCTTTTTGTTCTTCTTGCTCTTTCTGATTGTATTGTTCTTGATTTTCATTGTTGTTGTCATTCTGTGTTCCATCTTCTTTGATTTCTTTTATATTTATATCTTCTTTGTCATTTTCATTGTCATTTTCATTGAAGTTAATCATTATTTTTTGTCGTGGAACACGTTTCCAATCGTATATATCATCAATAGTAGTTTGTTTCGTAAATCCTTCACTTCGTCGAAGATACCACCGTCCCTTGTTTATAATATCAATCCCTTTGAATTTTGCTGGAATGTTCGACCATAGTTCTCTTGACATTTTTTTACTCTCAAAGCCATTCGTTCGAAAATTACGATTTAATGAATTATCTTTAATATCTAAGACTTCTTTAAGGATCTGCGAATTCATACAAAATATATCGTTTCTGTACCAGAAACATCCGTATTTATTAACTGAATTCGGATATTTATCAACGTGATTTAAAAAAAGTAAAGCAATATGAGCAATTTTCATTTTATGTTCATTACTAACTCGTCGTATTTCATATTTGATCCTTTCCATTGCGATTTGTTCATCATTCATATTAAAAATGATGTAATATTCAAAACAATACAAAAAAAGTATACAAAAAAAATAAGTCAATTCAAAATAATTGAATGTCACATAACGTCATAAAAAAGATAAAATATTCATGAAAAATCAAAATTGAAAATTTGAAATATTTATAATAATAAAGAATAAAAGCAAAAATTTTTATAAAATTTTATATCACTTCACATCTTTCCATTTTCTCACTTTTAAAAAGTTTACATTTTTTCACATGATATGTCATGATTCTCAAATAAAAACAGGAATATCTTGAAAAATTGTATTTATATTTTGATTTTAAAGTCATAAATATTAAAATATTTGGTCAAAGTGAAGCATTGCTGATAAATAGTTTTAACTTTTCAAGAGATTAGATAATATCTTCAGAAACTTTTATAAAATTATTAGATAATAACAGAAATTAATAATATTAATAATATTAATAATATTAATAATAATATAAATAATAAGGTTGTTTGGACCGAGTGGTCAAAGGCTCCAGACTCAAAATCTGCGATATCATGGGTTCAAATCCCATAACAACCATTTTTTTGCTTTTTTTTTTTTTAATATCATCAATGATAATGATCATTATCTCAAAATATTTTTGAAATTACATCCATAAGATTTTTTTTTATAACTTCAAATAAATAAGCTATCATTAATCAAAAAACCATAAATCTTTTTGTTTTTTTTTTTCCCTTCATATTGGTGCTTTTTCATGCAAAAGAAACACATAAAGAGTTGTTGAAATTCTTCTAGTTAAAGTTATTAAAAGATAGTTACTTTTGAAATTTACAATAATTTTTTTGAGAAAGTTTCATTCTCAATACATCCTCTTTCCCTTTCAAAAACCTAAAAAAATGAATTTTGAATGAATACGATAATTATTATTAAGGTACAAATCCAGTACGTTTTTTTTTTGAATAGGAGAACGTTTATTATTTGAATAGTTGCATGTCTCTGAAAAAGTTTAAATGGACTAGGTTTGTTTTTGACACTTATTTTACAATTTAAATAAACATTATGACATGTTATATGAAATGAATGGAAATAATTGTTTTTTATTTAACATGTCATCTTATTCTTTGAGAATGTCAAAAAAAAATTTGAAAGCATTTTAATTGAAAATTTGTTTCTCTCAAATATTCATTTATTAAAGAAAGAATGCTCAAGAAAAACATTCTTATTTTTCAAGGAGGAGGCCGTCCAAATGGTAACACGCATCAATTGATAAATAGCTTTGTCAAAGGAGCTAGAGAAGCCGGTCATGAAGTTGAAGTTCTCTCTCTTGTTAAAAATGTAGTGAATCCGTGTTTAGGATGCAACGCATGCCGTTTTGGTAAGCCTTGCATTCAAAAGGACAGTTTCAATTCAATTGTTCCGAAGATCAAAAAAGCAGACCTTCTTGTTTTCGCGTCGCCTCTTTATTTTTGGACGATCTCTGCGAGGATCAAAGCACTAATTGAACGATTTTATAATATTGCAGAAGAAGACTTGAATCCACCTCTTGGGAGATACGAGAAATATCCTCAGAAAGATTGTGCTCTTTTGATGACTGCAGCAGATAATTTCTTCTGGACATTTGAGCAAGCCGTTTCTTATTACAAATTTGCATTAGTGAATTATATTGGCTTTAACGACAAAGGGATGCTTTTAGCAGGAGGATGTGGCGAATCAGCAGGCGGACCTCAAATCGAAAAGACGACACATTTGAAAGAAGCTTACGAATTTGGCAAAAAAATTTACTGAGTTTTATAAAATTATATAAAACATTCTTTTTTCTCCAAAAACGATTTTTGACTGCAATAAGACAATACCAATGACTATTTGTTTTCCTGCTTTACAATCAATCTCATCAAAATTTCATAAAATCAATGAATAATTAAAAGTTATAGTTAATTAAAATAAATTTTAATTAAAAAAAATTTGCTGCAATTAATTGCAATAATAATGTCTTAAATGAGATTCAGAATATCAACAAAAGTTGATAACTTTTTATTCAGTTTTCTTTTTCTTTCGTTTTTTATTACGAGATTGGAAATCGAAATTGCTGTAAAGGCGTCTTATACAAGACGCCGAATTAATGATATAAAGAGAGAGATGAATCTTTCTTGTTCTTAATCTTGTTCTTGTTCTTGTTCTCGATTTTGATCTTTTTTCTATTTTCTTTGATGCGTTTCTTCTTCTTTTTAAATTAATAAATATTAATTCAAGATTGCTGTTTAAGTGTCTTTTACAAGACACTGTCATGTTCATTTTATAAAAATGATGTGATATTTCAATTTATAAATTTCTGTGTTTTTGTTTTCAATAAATTCTGATTGTCATATTTATATAAACCATTCAATAAATAAAAATAAAATTATAGGCATAAATTAAACATGTTATTTATATAAAATTGTATAAATATTCTTATATAAAATGTATTAATCAATAAATTCTATTATTTCTCACCAGCTATGATGGTTGTTAAAGTATTTTTATAAGATATCTTAAAAAAGAATAAATGTTTAAATGTTTAATTTTTTTAACTAATTAATTTTTTTATTGAGGTAATTATATGAAATAATTCCCTACTATTTCGAATTATTTATTTCTTTGGATTGAATTTGTGATTGAAATTGAAATTATTTATTTTATTTTGTCATCATAGAATCCCAAAATTTTATTTGGGACTTACATGACAAGTTTAAAATAAATAATTAGAATATAACATTTGTTCGAAATCGTTGTTATCGTTGTCATATTCGTTAGTTGTAAAATATTCCATTTCATATGAAAAACAATTTTCATTTCCTCTTTCATTTGCATTTGCATTTCCTCCCTCATTCAAAAAGATTTCATCAAAATTTAAAAAATCATCAAAAATATCATCAATTTCATTTTCATGTATCTCTTCTTGGACTTCTTCTTTTTGTTCTTCTTGCTCTTCTTGCTCTTTTTGTTCTTCTTGCTCTTTATGATTGTATTGTTCTTGATTTTCATTGTTGTTGTCATTCTGTGTTCCATCTTCTTTGATTTCTTTTATATTTATATCTTCTTTGTCATTTTCATTGTCATTTTCATTGTCATTTTCACTGAAGTCAATTATTATTTTTTGTCGTGGAACACGTTTCCAATCGTATACATCATCAATAGTAGTTTGTTTCGTAAATCCTTCACTTCGTCGAAGATACCACCGTCCCTTGTTTATAATATCAATCCCTTTGAATTTTGCTGGAATGTTCGACCATAGTTCTCTTGACATTTTTTTACTCTCAAAGCCATTCGTTCGAAAATTACGATTTAATGAATTATCTTTAATATCTAAGACTTCTTTAAGGATCTGCGAATTCATACAAAATATATCGTTTCTGTACCAGAAACATCCGTATTTATTAACTGAATTCGGATATTTATCAACGTGATTTTAAAAAAGTAAAGCAATATGAGCAATTTTCATTTTATGTTCATTACTAACTCGTCGTATTTCATATTTGATCCTTTCCATTGCGATTTGTTCATCATTCATATTAAAAATGATGTAATATTCAAAACAATACAAAAAAAGTATACAAAAAAAATAAGTCAATTCAAAATAATTGAATGTCACATAACGTCATAAAAAAGATAAAATATTCATGAAAAATCAAAATGGAAAATTTGAAATATTTATAATAATAAAGAATAAAAGCAAAAATTTTTATAAAATTTTATATCATTTCACATCTTTCCATTTTCTCACTTTTAAAAAGTTTACATTTTTTCACATGATATGTTATGATTCTCAAATAAAAACAGGAATATCTTGAAAAATTGTATTTATATTTTGATTTTAAAGTCATAAATAATATTAAAATATTTGGTCAAAGTGAAGCATTGCTGATAAATACTTTTAACTTTTCAAGAGATTAAATAATATCTTCAGAAAATTTTATAAAATTATTGGATGATATCAGAAATTAATAATATTGATAATAATATAAATAATAAGGTTGTTTGGACCGAGTGGTCAAAGGCTCCAGACTCAAAATCTGCGATATCATGGGTTCAAATCCCATAACAACCATTTTTTTGCTTTTTTTTTTTTAATATCATCAATGATAATGATAATGATCATTATATCAAAATATTTTTGAAATTACATCCATAAGATTTTTTTTTATAACTTCAAATAAATAAGCTATCATTAATCAAAAAACCATAAATCTTTTTGTTTTTTTTTTTCCCCTTCATATTGGTGCTTTTTCATGCAAAAGAAACACATAAAGAGTTGTTGAAATTCTTCTAGTTAAAGTTATTAAAAGAAGTTTTTTGAGATGGTTTCATTCTCTCAATACATCCACTTTCCCTTTCAAAAACTTAAAAAATAAATTTCGTCATTGGTAAAAGTTGATTTATTGGAATCAATTTCAACTTCTTTATAGTTATGGAAATTGAAAAATCAGATTTATAAAAGATGAAAGTCAACAAATTGAATGGCCAATTTTATACATTGTTTGATTTGTTTTGTGTTATGCAATTAATAAATTCAAAATTTTATTTTATATTTATAAATAATAATTATATACCTTGATGAAAACTGACGATTCTTTTTTTCAAGTAATTCAAGATAGATCAATTGATGATTTAAAAGTATCTTCTAAAATAATTAAAACAAACCAAGTCTATATTTACATATAATTGATTGATTATAATCTGTTTTTAGAAATAATTGCTAAATTAGTAAATTAAAAATTGAATTTATTGAAAACAAAAAACATATTTATTGAAAAACATAAATTTCTATGTTTTTTGTTTTCAATAAATTCAATTTTCTGCATCATAGAAATTTGGATATGAAAATATCTATTATGTATATTGCAATGATTTATGATGTCAACTATTCTTTGGATATAATTGAAAAAGAAAACAAGTCATTAAAAAATCATCAACTTTTTGAATAGAACAACATCAAAATTTTGACTTACTTCGTTCGATTTCAGTTTTTTGTGATATTCATAAAGTATGATATTCTTGAAATTCATTGAACATCAGTCTTTATATTATTCACTAAATTTAATCAAATCAAATTTCCTTAATTGAAATTACTGAGTCTATTAAAAAGCCTAAAAAGATACAATAAAGTTGAAGAATATTAATATTTACTATAAAAAAGATGATTATTTATTATATAACTTGTATATTGATAATTTAATAAATATTATTATTCTTTGATTTTCTTTTTAAAAGTGAAGGAATTCGTTTAAAAAAAAAAAAAAATTAAAAAATTAATTTTTTATTAAGTTAGTCAAGGATGAAAATACTCAGTATTTTGGAAGTTTCGCTTGATGTTGCTTAACGAAGGTTTCAACGTTTTTGACTTCAGTTGGATTCATCTTGACAAGGTCATAATGGCTCTTCGCCATCGATTCAACAATCATTTCGAAGCTGGGACGGTCTTTTGCTTCAAAGTTCCAGCAGTTGTTGATCATGTTCTTTGAGAATTCAGTGAATGAAGAAGGAATGTCTGCCTTCTTCCCTTTTGGAATGTCGAATACTTTGATCTTTGGGAGGTTTCCACC